GGGTTCAGGCAATTCTCCTGCCTCAGCCTCCTGAGTAGCTGGGATTACAGGCACGCACCACCATGCCCAGCTAATTTTTTGTATTTTTAGTAGAGACGGGGTTCCACCATGTTGACCAGGATGGTCTCAATCTCTTGACCTCGTGATCCACCCGCCTCGGCCTCCCAAAGTGCTGGGATTACAGGCTTGAGCCACCGCGCCCGGCCTGTATTCTTATTCCAACAATATTGCAATGGATCAAAATAATTTTTGGAGACTGGGTGCAGTGACTCACGCTTGTAATCCCAGCACCTTGGGGACCGAGGCGGGTGGATCACCTGAGGTCAGGAGTTCGAAACCAGCCTGGCCAACATGGCAAAACCTCATCTCTACTAAAAATACAAAATTAGCCGGGTGTGGTGGTTGACACCTGTAATCCCAGCTACCTGGGAGGCCAAGGCAGGAGAATCACTTGAACCTGACAGGCAGAATTTGCAGGTAGCTGAGATCTTACCACTGCACTCCAGCATGAGTAACAGAGTAAGACCATCTGTTAAAAATAATAATATTTGATCTTTTAGAATTGCCCTGGAGACTCTGAGAAACATTTTTTAAAATATTATGATCTATTGTTTGTTGTCTGCCTCCTGAGTAGACCATGAGCTCATGGGAAGGGCCAAATTTATGCTATTAATAGCACCAGCAGCTGCCACTGTACTAGAGACTTAGTAAACTGGTATTAGAGGATATTCCACAAGAGGTGGTTTCAGTGTGAACAATCATTACTATTCAAAAGTCTTCTAATTCTGTGCCCTGTTAGTGCCTGTTTTTTCAAACATCTCCTTTGCTACCAATATCTGTTACCTCAAGATAAATAGAAACTAGTCATCTCCATAAATTCAAGACCCAGCAAGTAATTCACATGTCAGTTTAGGCTTGCTATTGTTTTTTCAGCCGGGCACAGTGGCTCAGGGCCTTTGATCCTAGCACTTTGGGAGGCCAAGGCTGGCGGATTGCTTTAGCTCAGGAGTTCGAGACCAGCCTGGGCAACATGATGAAATCCCATCTCTACAAAAAATATATATAAAACGAGCTGGGTGTGGTTGTGTGCGCCTGTAGTACCAGCTGCTTGAGAGGCTGAGTTGGGAGGATTGTTTGAGCCTGTGCGGTCAAAGCTGCAGTGAACTGAGATCATGCCACTATAATCTAGCCTGAGTGACAAAGAGACCAACCTGTCTCAAAAAAAAAAAGGCTTACTTGCTGTGTTTCACATTCCAAACAATGCAGTGGGAGACACAGGCAACAGGTTGAT